CCCCCCCCCCCCCCCCCCCCACTCCTACCCTTCACAAAGCCATGTTGTTTAGCAGAAATAACCATAGGCAATACAGAGGCTAGTCACGAGGCCAAAAGCTTAGTAAAAACTTTATATAAAAAGTTACATAAGCTTATAGGTCTAAATTCTGCAAATGAAACAGGATTTGGATTTTTTGGAATTAATTCCAGCAAAGTAGCATTAGCTGACCTGGGGACACTCCCACCTTTCAAAAAGAAATTCACAGCTTTCACCATATCCATCTTTATGATTTCCCAAGGCACCTGAAAAAACTTCCCAAATAAACCATCCACCCCTGGAGCACTATGCACAAACATGGAGAATACAACACTTTTAACCTCCTCTTCAGAAGCCTCCATCACCAAATTCTTATTCATTTCCTCCTCCACCAACAGAGGTAATACAGAAAACAACTCCTCCTGCAAACAGTGAGGTTCAGACTTGTACAACTTAGAATAAAAATCCACAGCCTACCTCAGCAATTTTCCTATCAGAATTTACCCATATACCATCATCATTTTTAATCTTATTCACCCTATTCCTGACTGCCTTACATTTTGCTAAGGCATGATAAAATCTGGTATTTTTCTCCCTTTCCACATCTCATCTAACATTTGCTTTTTGCCTCCAATAAATCTCCAATCTCAAAATTTCATCCAACTCCTTGTGCACCTTCTCCAACTCTAAAACATTAATTTCAGAATTATAAGACTCTAACATCACCTCTGCTTTCTGAACATCCTCTTCCTTTCTCCTAAGTCTCTCAAAAATATTACCAAATGACTCCTTATTCCATCTCTTAAGATGAACCTTCAAAAATTTAATTTTCAAAAAAAATATTTTCATTGTGATTCTCAGAATAATTCCCACTCCACTTGGCCTTTACCAGAGGCAAAAAAGCAAGATCTTCAACCCACATATCCTGAAATTTAAAATACGATATCCTAAGTTGACTAGAATCTTGCAGTTTAAGCAGCAAGGGACAATGATCAGATCTACCCCTAGCCATACACTCCCAAACTTCATGCACCAACTAGGATTAAAAAACAGCCTCTCAATCCTCTGCCACATCCTAGTCTGCCCTTGGTGACCATTACACCAGGTAAATCTACTCCCACTAAATCCCACATCCTGCAAACCAACATCATTCACAAACTCTCCAAATTCCTCCATAGCCACAGCAGAGGGGAATGCACCACCCAACTTTTCTTCTGAACTCATAATAGCATTAAAATCACCCCCACCATCCAGGCAAATGAACTAGCCAGATTCAAACCTCTGAGCTGCTCCCATAATGGTCTCCTCAACACATGATCACAGCAAGCATACACCATTGTAACATACACAACTTCAGACCCCAAATAAGAGATTGCAACAGTTAAAGCCTGTTCATGACTTGCTACTATGTGCACTTTAATTCTATCATCTCATAGCACCCACATATGACTTTCATCTAAAGAATGAAATGCATAATGAGATAAACCAACAGACATAGCAAAACCATGCAGTTTGTTCACCCTCATTTTTGGCTCCTGAATAGAAAACATACACACATCATTCATTCTCACCAACATTTTTAGCCTACTTCTTTTCTCAGCTTTCCCAGCTCCCCTTATGTTCCAAGATAAAAAATTAATCATGAACAAAATCAGGACGGGTACCTTTGGACCAAAGTCTAATAGAAGCTTCACTAGAAATCTTATTCAAAGCATTAGATTCAGAGCTTTCCTCCTCCAATTCCTCCATAAAACTTTTGATCCTTGTACAACCAGCATTCCCTTCATCAGACATATACCCCTTATCAGGAGGATCTATCCTCCTTTCTATGCCTATGCCATCATCCATCGACAAGCCCAACCTTTTCCTTGGAGCATACTGATGTTCCACATAGAAAAAATCCTTAGAGGGAACAAAAAATTGCTTCTCCAGGTTACAACAAGTAAAATTTCCAGACATACCCCCAACAACACTCAAAGGGGTAACACCAACTCCCACCTGAACATACCTTTCCAAATTCACCAAATTCTAAACACAGAGAACAGGAACTAGACTAGAATTTTGGACCTGTCCACCATCATGTAAATCCTCCACACTCTTGGCAGCTCCATCTCTTACATCCACAAAATGATCAGTTTTTACCACCACATCTGACAGATTAACAACATTTTCAATCCCCTTATTAATCTCATCATTTTTCCCCACAAAGTATTCTCCCTTCTCCTTATCCAATATTGGATCCCTCTCTTGCTATTCTTCCAAAATATTAAATCTATTCCCAATCTCCACCTCTTGCACCACAACGTTCTGCTTAAAAACCTTCTTTCCCTTTCTCTTGTGCACCTCAACCATATCAGCTTTTTCGTTACTCATTTTACCTTTTCCAGATTGTCTTTCAGCATTCTGTACTTGAACAACCTCACTCCCCTCCTGTTTCTTCTTCCGACAACTCAAAATATCATGTCCTTGTTTCAGACAGTTTGAGCATTACAACACATTTTTTTCAAAAACAAATTTTTGCCACCGCCCACTCAAATCTCCCATGTCCAACCAAAATCTTTTGGGATTGTTTGCCAACAATTTAACCTCTACACAGGCTCTAGCTACACCAGGATGTGTCAAATTCAGTGTAGATTTATCTATGACTAAAATGCGACCAATAGGGCTTAAGATGTCTCTCAAACTGTCCATATTGAAGAGATGAATGGGTTGACTTAGTGAGGACAGCCACACAGGAACAATTGGCGGTTCAATACCAGGCAAAAATTTTGGGAACCAATTGAAGAATCGAAAGAGAAACCCCTATATGTATGTTGCGTCCTTCAACCATGTACGAACATAATCTTCGTACAATTCAAAGCGAATTAAAATGTGTCTAGGACCCAAGATTCCAACGTAAAACTCACCTTTGGGCTTCCTTCTTGTGACAATGAATTCACGAATTACCCCTAACATTGGCTTACCGTATGCGCATTTCCCAATTAACGTCTGCTAGAACTTAGCAAAAAAATTTGAGTCTCCTCAGACAACAGTACATCCCAGGCTCACCGTTGTTATATACAACTCTCTTTGCATGTATAGGAACACTCGCCACAGACTCTAAAGCCTTCGCAGAATTAGACACCAACTTTGCTGAATTAGCTACGAGATAATCCTCAGACACAGTTGTTTTCTCACCACCAGATAAAGGAATTTGACCAATTAAAGTACCTTGATCAGTTAAAGAATATTGACCAGTCGAAGAAATTCAAACAGAGGATGGAATTTGAGTAATCGAGTAAAAATGAGAAATCAAGGGAATTTCCAAAATCGAAGATTTCTGAGTAATCGAAGGAATAGAAGAAGGCATCACAACCATTTCCTCACCACCAGATAGAATCGCAGAAGAACTAAGTCCATTAACCAATCCAGAATTCACATCAGATGCAATAACAGAATTCTATTCAAACTAACCCTATTCCTAATATAATAAGAAAAACTAACCCTATTCCTAATATAATAAGAAAAACTAATCCTATTCAAATAGAATAAGACAAACTTAAAAAAATTTCTAAAATATTTCAGATTGATAGACAAACTTGATTGGATTTCCAAAGGATAAGTCAGTGGTTGTATAATTGGTAGTATATATGATATATATACTACGGATGGAGCGATACAAGTCCAGTGGCATGAAAGCAAATAACTAACCTCCACACTTATAATATTTTGTGCGGGATGATTTTCGTACAGTAGATAAGATGATAGATCTTTCCTTTGGTAAGATCGCGTTTGCTTAGAATGCCACTTTGATGAAGGTCCTTGAGTGCCCCACTACGAACAGTGATGGAGCTGCAGATATGACTATAGGGAAAAGGGATTGCAAATAGTGGATGAAACCTCTGCAAACGATCAAATAATGGGCAAGCTCTCAAAGACGTCCTGTCACTAGAGAAGGAAGGATTAGAAAAACGTCGGAGTGTTCTCTGCTACGAGCCCTCCGACACTCGATTCAATTTTTAAGGAATGACTTGAGAACACTGTTTTATTAGTCGGTTAAAAAAGTTGCTAACATTAACTTGGATTTTGAAGGTGTTATTTATACCTTTCAGGAATTGATCGAGAAAGACAGTTGGGTCCCTTTGGAGGGAAAACACCTGGTTGATTTGTACTCAAGACATCATTTGGTGTGCAGACATCTATCAAAATGCCTACTTCCAAAGCTTCTCCAAATTTACACTCGAGTTCTCGAGTATTTATTGCACACTTCTCAACTCTACCAAGCAATGAATACATCCCACACTTCTATAAAATCATTTAATGTGCCTTGGGGATGGCCATGCGCACGCAAGGGTATTTTTGTCAATTTCTCTTTCAAGGGGTTAAGAATTAATTATCACGTACACCGTGCACTTTTGTAATTGGTCATTGAACTATCTTTCTAATCATTTTGATTGTCTTGTAGAGAGGGACCAATGACTAATAGTCAACTTCGTTTCCAAGCCATAATGCTCAGAGACTGCTTTACCTCAATCATGGGTATGTTTGCCTTGGTCAATCTTTTCTTTTTTTTGGGGATCGAAGCTCATCCTTTCTCATGGTAACCGGTGTCTAGGTGACTTTTCACCTCACGCCATTGTGCAACCAAGATGCTGAGATGGAGGTGGACATTGATACTGAGGGAGAAATCATGCCGAGGTGATCCCCCTTGACGCCGAGGTAGTCTTGGACCTCATTGCTGAGGCAAGCCAAATACTGGGAGGGGGAGGGGGAGGGACACAATCTACTGAAGTAAGCCAAGTGTCGCTTGCCCACTTGGTTATCAAAACGTTCCATCAATATTAATAAGTGTTTCTAAGACTAACCAAAAAGCTTAAGCTCACTGCTAAGACTTCTGAGAGTTACCGAAAAAAGGATTGAAGAGTATTACGGAAATGCTTAAGCTCATTGCGATGAAAGATTGAAGAGTGTTGCCAAAAGACTTACCGAAAATTTCTAATCTCTTTAGCCACTAACAATTCGCCTGTTGATTGCAGTGGAAAACAATGGTCAAATTCGCCAAGAGGACGATCAGTGAACTCTCAGAATGGGTAGTTTTATCTAATAGGCGGAAGAATTAAAAAAAGGGGAAAACATGGGAGGGAAGAACGATTTTTTAGTGGGAAAAACCTAAAACATTACCGAAATTAAAAAAGTGAAAAGAAATTAAATTGTATCAATTTACGAAATTGGGACAACAAATATTATCGACACTGAATAATATTTTTAATGGTGATTTAAAAGAATTTTTTTTGGTCATAGACCTAAAAGATTTGGATCGTTGTTATTCTTAAAAAATTATATAAGTCGTAATATGAGTCGTTGGATCTAAAAAATCTAATACGTTTATAAAGCGTTAGATCTAAATTATCTAGACCATTGTGTTGCCAAAAAATAAATAAGTTACCATTTTTTTTTTCTTTTGCATTCAAAAATTCCACATATATATGTTTTATTCATGACACCCATATACATCATCATCCAATACAGAAATAAATAATCAAAATTATTGACTTTTTCTTTACAAACATTGAGTTTAAATTCAGATATAAATTGTTAAATTAAATTTGAACACAATTATTTGGATCGGATTGGATAGAAGGATAGAAAGATTAAAATTTTTTATTTAACCAAAATTGGATATTATTATATGTAAAAATAAAATCCATTAGATAATCAAATGTAATTTGGATTGAAGTTTTTACATTAGATCTGAATTCTAATCAAATTGAGTCTAATTCACTTCTCATCAATTGATAATCTTAATCTCAAATAAAAGTTTTAAGGACGATACAAATCAAGATAAATAAACAAAGACATATGTTAGGACAGTTGAGAAATAAAAATTTTAGGAACTCTCAAACATGATCAAATGATATGACCAAAAATTGACAAATAGAGAGAGATGAGAGATGCAATAGTGAGCAACCAAATCAAGGAAGTAGGTTACACAACATATGTCTAAAAATTAAAAGACTTACTATTAGTGGCAAAATAAATATTGCCATAAAATAGATTATTTATGGTGATCCTATATTTTGCCAATAAATGAAAGTGTTAGTGGCAACATACATCGCCACTACTTTTGCAAGTTTAGCGGCAAAAAAAATTATTATCGCGAAAACAATATCAATTGGTGACTTTTTTTATCGTCACTAATTAAGTTAAGATTTTGTGGAGCATCTTTAAATACGCCACTGAACGATTTCCCTCTAGTGCCAAAAATTTTCCACCCTACTATATGTGACAAAAATATTAGTGACAAAGTTAAATTTGTCACAGATCACACCTAAGTTTGCATAATTAGTGACAAAGTTAGTGGTTGCCACTAAATGGTATGTTTTTGTGGCAAAATGACATTATCACCACTAGATAGAATGAATTAGCAACAATACAAATATAGCCACTAAAATGCTTATTTATTGTAGTGAGTGGACGAATTAGTTTTTTTTTTTCAACTCACCAACATCAATCCTTCTAAAATTGGGAGGAAAAGTGGATATAAAGTTAATTATGTATATTGAAATGTATTTTATTTGTCTATATATCTTTTGATATATACATATATCATATTTATCAATTATATATTATTTATACATTAATTTTATAAATAGATATAATAGTAAAATATGTACTTATATTTTTTCAAGAAAAATTAAAATTAAAAATTAAAAATACTTTTTTTATCTTACCAAACACAAAAAAAATCAATATTTTCTACTTTCTATCCCTCTTACCGAATACAAAAGAAAGAAGGAAAGATTCTTCCTTTGAATGATAGAAAGTGTATTACTTCCACTTTCTATCCTTCCATTTTTTCATTCACCCTACCAAACGGACCATTAGTGATAAAATTAATTTTTTTAGATAATTAATAATTTAATCCATTTAAATTGAATCAAATGTTACTTGGATTTGTCTGATCATACAAAAAGTGTTTAAAAGCATGATCAAATATATAAGTACTAGTTATTGCCTGTACATGAAGACACAAAATAATAAAAAATAGTAAACAGTAAACATATTTATATTCATATCCAAAATTAAATTACAAACACAGATTACAGATAAATGAATTTAAGTATTGTTTGTAGTGGAGGTGAGAGGTAGTGGGCGTCAGTGGTGGTGGTAGGAGACGGTGATGGTTGTGGTGAGTGGCAATGGTGGGGGTGATGGCGGTGGTGGGGGGGGGGGGGGGGGTGGTGATGATGGCAGCGATGACGGTGGTGGCGACGACGGCAATGGTGGTGATGATGGTGGAGTGGCGGCGGCGGTGACGATGGTGGCGATGACAGTGGGGGTGGCAGCGACGGCGACGGTAGTGACGGCAGTGGTGGTAGAGGTAGTGGTGGAGC